CTTTTCTGGACGCAATGTGTGACAAAATCATCAGCCAGTACAAGCACCGCAATACTAATGCTAAATTTTTGGATTCCATTTCATTTTTTTTTTTTTGTTTGTCGCTTATATGTCCAGCTTCAATTGATGATGGTCTAGGGTCTATCGCTATTTCGCTGTCTTTGTAGACGCTTTTGCGAAAATATGCATTTCTGATTATCATTTTAAAAGTAATAATTTACATAAGCTTAAGAAATGTTGGCTAGGCTTGGCTAAGACGCAGTTATTAAGAAATAAAAGTATTATATCTGTCGAGCTGTGGTTACACGATATTTTGTGTTGCGATTGTTTACGATTTCTGAGAAAACGCCTATTTTCGTAGAGGTTTTGTTGCTGCAAAGCTTGCTTGCTCCTTTTATCTTTTCAGTGCACAAATTATGAAATTCGGACTTCAAGTTTAAATACGAATTGGCATATTAAGACGTTTTTAAAAAGTGACCCATTTATGCCCCTGGGTCGTCAAGGGTTATTTTTTTTCCAAAAATGTGGGAAATTTTTTCAAATCGCCTACTTATTTAGCCGTAATAAGTTTTTTGCCAGAGAGCAATGCATAGTGCATTGAACATTTTAGATTTAGATGAATTTTGGTCAGAACTTTATTGCCAAAGGGAAAAAAATAAAAAAAAAAATTGAAAGTTATGTAGGATTCTTATCTTCACAATTTCTGGACATTTGCAAGTTTATCTTTTGAATATCTCATAAGCTATTTTAGTTACAAAATTGGATCTGTTGTCGTTTTAAAGCTGATATTTAGAGCTATGAATAAGTAAAAAAAATTTCAAAAATGGTAAGAGCAAAAACTTATAAAAATGTTTGGCTAAATTTGTTTGAGTGAAATACCTCGACACTGATCTCAAGAGATCCTGAAATTTTCAAAAAGTTTTTTTTCCTGTTTTTTTAAAGAGACCAATTTTTGAACTTTAAAAAAAAATCCAAACCCCTCAATAAAGTTACGTTTGAAAAAACTCTTTTTCAAAATTCAAAAAATCATGAAAATTTCAGGATTTTTTAAGATCTGCTACATAGTATTGTCTAAAAAATTGAGAAAAAAAATCTAAAATTTCCGGATTTGTTTTTGTTTTTTGTTTTTTTTTTTATATTTTTTTTTTTTATAACGAGACCAGAACCAGTTAGAGAGTATGATCCCATGTGTTCAAGACTGCAGCTTCGTAAAAGCTTGGTAGCTTAAGAGAAAGTGTTGAGATGATCCCATCTCACCGTACTCTTGGCAGCTACGACAGTGGTTAGCCGGTGTGCTATTTAGTTTCACAGTGAATAATAAACGCAACCACTTTTTTAGAAGCCAATTTTGGTTTCAACATTAACTTTCTATGTATAGTCATTATTATACAGAGAGAGAAAAGAGGCCCTACATTTTTAATAATATGGGTGGGTTGGTATTTCTTGGAAAAAAACTGAAAAATTGCGTAAAAATGAGCTAAGTAGCAGTTATCTGCGAGGCTTATAAGACGTAAATGTATTCTGAAACATGACCACAGAGTGGTTCCCTTAGACGCTATCTCTCTCATTTAGGTTACTGCAGTTGCAGCAGAGTAGGAAGGGCAATGGCAATGCTGTGATGGATGTGACAATATGAAACATTGAAGAGATTCTTTAAAAAAAAACGATTGTTTTGAAAGTAGATTCAGGCGACTTTTAAATATATATTTATAACCTATTTTAGCTCTTTATTATAAAAAGCCCTTCTCATCAAAAGTATGTAAATACGACTTTTTCAAGAGTACGAGGCGTACGTACACTTTTACATGCCAAATATCAGTTCAAAACATTTTCATAAATACCATATGTGTAGGTACATTCATACATAATTGTCATCAGTAATCTGTTCGCTGTTTTCATTCACTTCGTTCGCTCTCACAAGTTAAAATTGTTTTGATTTCTCCTTTGATATAATTCTTCGCAATTTTCGCATGCCATCACTGCAATACACTTGCCATAGAAAACATACTTGTAGATACATAAATACATACATGCCATAGGATACACAAATTATTAAAATATATGTATGTATGTATGTACATATATAAACGTCGGTATACACGACTTTTATGACGAAAAGGTAATGAAGCGTGCGACAGACGCATTATCAAGGAGTCACTAAGCTAAAAGCGGCAAAATGCGAATTGAAGGAGAAGCAGCGCAAAACAAATAAACAATAAATGAAAGAAATTATCTATACTTGTGCGGAGAGTCGTACAACGGAGCGTATGAGTAACAATTTTATAGCGGGAGCAAAATTGGATGCGTTCCATGAAACATAGTGCACTCCTAGTGTACTCCTATTTGCAGTTGTAGTTGTGCATTTGCTCTGACTATAGAAATGTACGTTTGTTGTATTTGTGTGCTGCACTAAGCTCCACATCATTTTTGTAGTAGATTAATTTTGAATTGAAGTGTCTACTATGTTTGAGGGTTTCCGTGTTATGCGACTATTTAGTAGTGTGTATCTGGTTTAGAAAAAAATCATGAAGAAATCTAGCACTCTTTTAGGATTGCAATTGAAATATTTAAATGCATTCTTAACCCATTTTACTGTAATTTCATTTAGTTCAGTTTTTAAGGGTTGTATATGTCAATTGTTTGGTTTGCCCTTGTTACGTAAAAAGAATTTAAATCAAAAATAAATTTTGGTTGCCATATTAATAGTACTTATAATGTATGCAGAAAAGTTAGGGTTGAGTTTAGAGATGGAGGATTGGTACTTGCTTCAAGTCTCATGAACAATAATTATTTTAATTTAATTTGTGCAACTGGCAAATGGTGAATGTAATTTTTCTATAAACTCACCGGTTTTATCTTTTGTATTGGGTACTTGAGTGGAAAATGACTTACCTGAAAGTAGAAAAACAACATTTAAAATAAATTAGTCTCTTACAAAAATATTATTTTAGCTGTTTTTTTTTAATAAAAATTTTATAGGAATGCTGCGTGCATACCCACTGGGAAAATAGGTAAGCACCTTACGAGGTAAGCCATGTTTTCTTTCAGTTTTTAGTACCAAAATTGTCATCATGGCCAATGTGATCTACTAGTAAAGCACAAAATGCACACCTCCGACGACACATCAATTTTCTTGTTCCACTGAGAACTCTACGCAACTTTAATCCCTTCTATCGGGATAAAGTCAAAACTAATTATGCAAGGAATGCTTCTCTGTCGCGTGCTCTCTGTGAATTCAACGAGATATCGAATTCTGTCGGCCTTGATTTCTCATTATCCAAAAAGTCTTTTATTTCTTTGTTATATTCTGTTCTTTGATACATTATTGTATTTTGTTATTTTGATATTTGTTAATTTGTTTATGATTAAGCTTTCAAAATCTTCTCTGTTTGTAATTTCTAATTTCTAGTTTTAAATAGTTAGTAAGAACTTTGTTCATTGATTTTATGATATAAATAAATAAATAAACAAATAAATTACATTGTCAGTTGCAAAATAACGTGCAGCCGAAGTTATTTTCAAGCGTCGAACTTTTCCGAGCGACTGATCTGCATTACGCCTAGCTTAGTATGTCTGATACCAAATGTGCATTCTAAATTCCTACTTACATAAGGCGGCCAGGTCTTTGTTAAAGTAATGGAGATTCAGCAGGGAAGTGGTAAGGACCGCCGGGTGAAGGGCAATACCTTAGTCGCTCGGAAAAGTCCGGCGCTTGAAAATAACTTCGGCTGCACGTTATTTTGCAACTGACAATGTAATGTGTCGTCGGAGGTCGTCATTTTGTGCTTAACTAGTAGATGACATTGGCCATGATGACAATTTTGGTGTAGGTGGGTTGTGGCTAAGGTGTAAACCAACACACATAAATACATTGTATACTCGGACTACGTTCAGCGGCTCTTATTTGTATGCTTTGAGTTTAATTTTTTCTAGGGAAATTACCGATATTTTTTAGCTTTTTTGTTTGCTTGAAAAATAATAGTTATTTTTAGTCTTATTTTTCGCTTAGTTGGCAATGGTATTAGTATGTAGATTTAATGCTAAAGGTACACGGTCAAAAATTTGGGTTTAGTTTTTAAACCTAGCTGGGACTGCTGCCTTTTTTTTATAGTCTATATTTTGAACCAGTCAATAGTTTTAAGCAATTTTTTATATATTCTGGTTTTAGTCCAAGGAGCCGAGCAAATTATGTTTTGCTATGAGTGGTTTAAAATTAAAACAAAAAGTTCGTGGTTTCAAATATAGGCCCTATTTGTTTAAAAACCAAACCAAAATGTTTTAATTCTAGTTTCTAGGTTTCAAATATAGAAAATTTTGTTTAAAATCTAAACCGAAATAGAAAATGTTTGCCTCATTATACCAATTGACATAAGGGTGCCTCTCAGAGAAAGCACATTTAGTGAGTGTGCAAAGATGCTTGATACAATTGGTTGCTACCAAGGCTGTCCCCATCAGACGGAACATGAAATTTAAGATTTTTTCTTTTAATTATAAATTATGAAAAAGCTTTCGCGAAGTGTAACGTAACGAAAGAGAAAATGTTTGGGTTTAAAATTTAAACCGAACTGTTTAAATTCTAAACCCAACATCTTTTTTTTTAAACTTGGAAGGTTTGTATTTGAAACTAAATTTAGTTTGGTCATATATGTAGTCCAAAAAGTGTAGCTGTAACGGTAACGGTGAAGGGAATAGTTATGGTAATGGTATTGGCAAATGTTAAAGATAAAGATAATGGTAGTAATGATAATGGAATTGGTAAAGGCAGTGGTAATGGTTTGAGAAAAAAAATATTAAAAATCAATGCGATGACTTATATAATTGGGATTTCTCTTTTAAACAACTACAAGAAAAGAAAACCTCTTGCGTTTATGCCTTTACTGGAAAATAACACGTTTTTTTTTCAATTGCATAGGCACGAATAACTGTGCTTAAGCAAGCCTATTTATATGCTACAAATGAATAACCGAATTTTTAAGTTTACTCATAGTTCAGCTTAAGTGGTTAGTTGGATTTAAAAATATGAAAAACACAATAAAATAAAATTTCAAAAATGTTCGTCAAGCGGGAACAAATACCTCGCTCATGGTCAAATTCCGTTTAATGGCAGTTTAATGCATCCGCATTACTAAGTAATTAATTTATGTACATATTTGCCCTGCCACTTTCGCCCTTAATACTTACCGTTATTATTGCTTATGGCAAATCGTTGCTGCAACTGTTGCGCCAACGCTTGATGATGCTGCGCCAGTGGGGTCAGTGGTGGCGGTTGCCCCAGCTGATGTGGCGCCGATTGTGAGTGTGGCACGTTTGACATGGGCGACGCATCGCCGCCGCCGCCGCCACCTCCTTGTCCATTATTACCACAATTTGTGCCACTGGAAACGATTACTCCACCACCAACATTACCAGCGCCGCCATTGGTGGCACTACCACCAATATTCATGGCATTAAATTGTTGCACAGATATTGAAGTGGGCACATTAACCATGCCTCCTACTGTGCCACATTGTTGCTGTTGCTGTTGCTGTTGCTGCTGCAGCTGTTGTTGGCTAATGAGCGCGCCACCAGCGCTGCCAGATGTGGTGGTATTTATGGAATTTTGTAGATTACTGCCATTGGAATTGTTGTTGTTGTTGTTGCTGGCCGACAGTATAGAGCCATTGGCGATATTTGTTGATGTATTGGAATTTGTGTTGTAGTAAGAATCCTCGCCTGCAGAAGAAAAAAAAGAACAAAAGTGGAGTGTCATGAGTGGGCTGTATAGATGCGTGCACGCTAGCGGGTACATACAATGAAAAGCTCCAAAACTTAAGGTTACTTATGCATAGGAATGTATGTATGTATAGCAGTTTCCAAGAAAGTTTTGTACGGAAGAGGAGCTTTGAACTAAAAGCTTTAGCGCTCAGCGCGTCATCTGTTAAGACCTAGCTGCGCGAAAAGAGCTTTGAGCAGCAATGCAGTTACAAAGTTAGCAGATAATTTTTGTACGTATGCACATTAACTAACTGCCATCTCCATCTAAATTTGATACTAATAGCAGCGCGTGCAATTTATTTATGTGTATAAAATTCAATAGGTACCTTATACTTTTATGAAATGAATCATGCAATGCGAAAGGACAATTTTTTTTTTTCAAATAAATAACACGATTATCAAAATAAAGAATAAAATTATTTTAAACATAACGCCCCACAGTGCTTGCCCTTCATATAAAACGTGGGCAAACATAGAATTACAGACGAATTTAAATGACTTAATTTTTTCTTAGTGAATGTGAGGACGCTGAAATTAATAATGTTTTGATTTTTTTTTTATTTATTTTTTTTTTACTTCTATACGTTCACTGTAAATCGAGTTTGAAGTTCAAAATTCGGGTTGTTTTAGCCTTTATGTACAATGGTCGAAATAATTATAGCCGCACCACATTTTGACAAGTTTTAACATATTATTTTTGTTGTTATTTAATTTTTTTTTTTTTTATAAAAATATAGTTCATTCTTTAACAAAACCCGTGTAAATCAAAATTTCAAAGTTTGTGCAATATTTTGAAAAAAAAATCAACAAACTTCCATAAAAAAATTTAAATTTTTTAATTAGATTTCCCAGAAGGATTCTGACTATGCAGTTTTGTAGCTCATTGAATTCTAGTAGAAAAAAGTGCAAGTTTCAAATGGCAAAAAATTGTGGTTGATTTTTTTTTATTTTTTTGTCCCATTTGCGCTTCCATATAACGAATACACACAATTTATATTTTTATATGGAAGGAAATCGAAACATCCTGGACAAAAAAAAAATCAACCGTAATACCCAGAATATTACTAGGAAATCTAATTTTTTACGAAAGTTTGTTGAATTCTTTTTAAAGCGTTTTTAATGCCTAATGGCCAAGCTTTGCACCGAACGGTGTGGATCTTATAATTTTTTTAAACAGCATATAGCACATCTTGAAGCCAAGTCTTTTCTCATTTTTTAGTTCAACGAACAGCCCACATCTCATAGTTTTTCGTACAGCTGGCAACCCTTTTCGAAAGAATTGAATGAGCTGTACAAATCTGATGTCACAAAAAATACCTTCACGTATTAAAAAGGTGGCAACCCCACTAAAATAATAAAAGCTTATTGCACATCCGGAGACCATATCCTTTCACTTGGTACCTCATTTTCTAGTCCAACGAATGGTGAACATCTTATAATTTTTTAAACGGTGGCAACCCTACTCAAAAACAAGCACATAACTACACATCTAGAGGCCAAGCCCTTTGGTTTCACACCTCATTTTTCCTATTCCATCATATAGGTTTTTAGACAGGTGGCAACCCTATAAAAATTCTAAATACCAATGGTCACACTCCAAACGATACAGCGTATCTTAAAGAAAATCTCGTCCAAATCCGTTCAGTACTTTTCGAGATTAGCGCGTACAAAGAATCTCGACTTTCCTGCATACTATGTATAGATGTAACAGGTGTCAGTTTACAGGACTTGGCCTGTAGATGTGCAATAAAGTTTTATTTTCTAACAAGGGTTGCCACCAGTTACAAATTGAATTCAAATTTTTTAATTTACTTCTAATTTTATTTTAAAAAAATTTGTAAATACCCGCGCGCCTCACTGCGCCTTCAAAGTATTTTTGTGTTGTTATTGCCTCCGAAAACTTTTTTGGGTTCATTTATAAAAAAAAAAGTATGATTTGAAGAAAAATATTAAGTTATGAAGGTTTTGAGTTTGGATGGTTTACAGGACTTTCCTACTTTAAAAATGCATTATCTTTGCTCCCACTAATCACATCGGCTGAAAAAAAAAAACACTCTCGACTTCAATCTGACATTGTAAACGCTTCCTTTTTTAAGCAATGACAACTTATGACTTTATTAAAGTTCAAAGTTCAAACCCTTTAAAGGCAGGGGTTACGTTTGAGTGAGTCTATTTTGTTTTTGTTGATTATTTATTAACGTCGACATATCAACAAATAGTCATTTGCGAATCAAGCGTCGAGACGTAGCGCGACTTGTTTTGATTATGAATGACAGCAGCAAGCATAGGTCTGGATGAGTTATTTTGCCATACATACTGACAAAACTTAAGCTGTCACTCACATAATCAGTGAGTGGATTGTATTAAGAGTGGCATGTGCAAAAAATGAAAACGAGGAGAGTGTTTAAAAATATACTTGCCAAGCCGCCGGTAAAAATAATATCAAACATAAATATTATGACACATGCTGAAATATTTTAAACGCTTTTAAATTTGCTCTTATAGCTGTAATGTAAGTAGATACTATGTCCAGCCTGTTTTCATATTGATAGAAAGCATAATTTTTTCTTTTCGAAACATTAAAAACCAATAAACAAAAGAAAATTAAATTTAACAAGTAATTTTTAAGCAAACAAAAAAAACCGACTTCAATTCACATATAAAAACTTAGGAGTACCGTTAACTTTTTCAAGTTATGCGGTAACATACCTAAAAACAAAAAAAAAACAAAAAAAAATATTCCGACAAACTGATAACCTCCTCCTTTTTTGGAAGTCGGTTAGAAAGAAAAAATAACAAAATGAAAATAAAGCAAAAATAAATGAAAATATTTTTAACAAGTAATTTTTAGCAAAAAAAAACCGACTTCAACTCTCATATAAAAAAAATATATATATATCTCATGATCAACTGATCGGATCTTAACCAGATTTGTATGGGACCACCTCTGAGACACTACCTTCGATCGAAATCGGTTGACGTGGTCCAAAGTTATGCGGTAACATACATAAAAAAAATAAAAAAATATAAAATATAAAAGGCAACTAAACAAAATATTCCGACGAACTGATAACCTCCTCCTTTTTTGTAAGTCGGTTAAAAATTAAACGATGTTAATAAAAATATTTATTTTTCTTTTTATAACAATAAAATCTAAAAATTAAATTAGAAAAAGAAAAAAAACAAAATAGAAAAAATAGTACTTAACAATAAAAAAGTACATTTTAAATTTCAAAGCAAAATCTAAAAATAAAAAATCGAATTAAAAAGGACAAAAAATAAGGTTTTAAAAATTAAATGATATAAAAAATATAGTTAAAACGAAAAAAAATCTAGAAATTAAAAAAGTGAAATCATCAAAAGAAAAATAAATTTAAAAAATACAAAACCGACAACCTCATACAAAAATTTATGATTATCGTTTATTTCTTCATGATCCAATAATCGGATCTAAACCAAATTAGTGTGGGACCACCTGTGAGGTACCACTTTTCCTTAAAAAAAAAAAATTATAGAAATCGGTTGACAAATTTTGTCCAAAGTTATACATAAAAAAAAATAAAAAATAGTCCGACGAATTGATAGCACTATGTAACAAGGTTTTTGTCCCTGGGCTGTAATTGTTATTTCCTAGTCAGTTAGGTCCCAAAAGTATAGAAAACAGCTATTGTCGCAAGATAACTTTGCTTTTGTGACCATCTTCTTCAGCGTTCAAGTACCTACAAGACTTGTTCCCTAAGCTCTCTGAGGCGAAAGTTACAGCCGGTATCTTCGTTGGACCACAAATAAAGAAAATCTTCGAGTCTGAGGAATTCCCCAAGAAGCTCACTCGTGTTGAGAAAGCTGCTTGGATGAGTTTTATGTCAGTGGTACAGGGATTCCTAGGCAATCACAAAGCCGCAAACTACGTGGAGCTGGTCGAAAGTCTGGTGGAGAACTACGGCAAAATGGGCTGCAGGATGTCTCTCAAACTCCATATTCTGGATGCACATCTTGACAAATTCAAGGAGAACATGGGAGCATATTCAAAGGAGCAAGGCGAGCGCTTCCATCAGGATATAATGGAATTTGAGCGGCGATACCAAGGACAATACAATGAGAACATGATGGGAGATTACATTTGGGGATTGATTAGAGAAAGTGACTCGCAGTTTAAACGCAAATGTCGAAAAACCACCCGCTTCTGATTTACTTTTATGTTTTTGGTTTTCTGAAGTTTTAATAAAATTTAGTTTTGATTTATATGTGCTGTTCTGTATGATTTTGAGCAAAGTTTCCGAGGAATATTAGGTGGTTTCCATACTTTTAAGGCATAACAGACTAGGAAATAACAATTACATCCCAAGGACTGAGAAATTTTTTTTTTTGTTACTTAGTGTAGCCTCCCTCTTTTTTTGAAGTCGGTTAAAAATTAAAAAAGTTTCTAAAAATCAAATGATGTTGACAAACAATAAAATCTATAAATTTAAAGAAAATGGAACTATAAAAAGAAAAAAAAATCAAAAAACTAAAATAAAATATTTCTAAAAATTAAATGAAATTTACAAAAAATTTTATGTTTTTTAAAGAATACCATCTATAATTAAAAAAAAATAGAATTAAAAAGGAAAAACACATAAAATATATCAAAAATAAGGGCCTTATTCATAAAAAATAGAGTAGCTTTAAAAAATTTGTATACATATGTAAGCTGAAAAATTTATGAGATTTTGTAAAGCTCTTTAAACCTACTTTATTTTTTATGAATAAGGCCATAAATCTTTTTCATTTTAAAAAATCTAAAATTGAAAAACTAAAAGGAAATTATATTAAAAAAAAAACGCGAGCTAAATGATAGGTATACAAGTGCTCAAAATAGCTTTTCCCCACGAGTGAAGAACGAGAGAGCATTTTTTTTTTCTAAGACTATCGTGCAAGAGTAACAAAAGTCTCTCTGTCTTGACATCCGTCTTTCGTTT